CCTACACTGCAGAATGTCCCAGCTAATTTTCTCATTAGCATATCCATCACAGTTTAATTGATAGGTAAAACGAGCTTTAATAAGTAGCTTTGGGGATCAAGACAAATAAATGCAGGAAATAAAAATAGAAAGATGTCTTTACAAAGTACAAAATTCTTTCCCTTTACAAATGATGTTATCAGCATGACAATTTGAGTAAAGATTTAACTGAAAAGTGAACATGAATTTCTAATCGTCTTTTTGCCTAAATGGCAGCCACACTCGAGCTGCATTAAGTTTTCGTAAAACCTGATGATCATGTTGTCCAGCATGATTTAAGATGATTCAAAGAGCTTCAATGAAAGAAGAACATCTGACTATTTGGACAAAGAGTCACATGATCAATGTCACACATTTACCTACCTAGAAATCTGAAACATTTCTCTATTTACATCAATTTAAGTGGACTTTTGGACCCCACTGTATGTATTTGATAGTATATGATTATCAGACATTCAATTTTCCAGTATTGAAGAGCTTGATGTTGAGATATAAAACATTTTTAACATAAGTGTATGTAAATAGTCTCATCTATAAAGCAAACAAGATAAGTATTCCTCTGTGAAGTTCTACTCTGTAAAGCCTGTTTTATGGACAAGCTCATTATTTCTTTCTGCTATTTGGCAATCAGTCTCACAGGAAAGAAGAAAAGATGTGTAGGTGGCATTTGCAGTGAACATTTCAAATCAAGAAGAATGAGAATAATAAAAAAAATTCTTAGCATAAATTTACTATGCTAGTATTTTTACACTTGTTCTAACTCACTTTGAGGCTATTAGTCAACTTAATAAAGCAGAAGTCCCGATATTTCTCGCTCTGAGAAGTGTTGACAGTCTTATTATACCGGCGTTAACATTCGGCTGACAGGGCAGAGAGACTCAGGATATGACAGAAGTAACCAGGAATGGTAGCACAAAACTCATGTTCCAGCACAACTAATGTTTCAAGAGGAAGTGATTGCTTCAGCCTTTGAAAGGGAATTCACTTCTCACCCCATCCATATCCAATAAGTGCGCTCATGATGAAAAAATCATGAAACTGATTAGGGAGACAAAGTTCAATCCTTTCAAGTCCTCAGTACTTTGATTGTCTAATTAAGGTTTTTGCTATAATTAGGCTAAATTTTGCTCCTCATTAAGCCAACATTTTTCACAGTGTTACAGTGTAAATATATTAGTTTCTACTAAAGAAAAGTACTTTCTCTTACTACTATATTTATTGCTACAGAATAAATTAATAATAAATATGGACAATGAAACGTTACTAAATAAATACAAATTTCCTACAGGATAATTATATTAAAAGAATAGTCTTTCAAACCAGAATAAGAATAGTCTTTCAGACATTTTGTTTAAATAAGTAATGCAATTTCGTCAACCAAAAATATTTGGCTGAAACACCAAAAAATGAATTTATGGTTTTGGCCAAAATAGTTTTGGAGGGCTGAAACCATTGGCCCAAACAGTGACATTTATTTAGTACTTCTCTGATTAAGCATTTTGACAATGGCAGTGTCAATTTCATGCACATAACATGGATGATCTACAACAGGTAAATCTGTCAGCAGTGTTGATGCACTTCTAACCAAAAATTACGCTAGAGTAGCAATATGTAAAATTTGTTTGACTGAACTACAGAAAGGCAGTTTGTTGCCAAAGATCTTAACAATGACTGAAAACACGACTGAATTTTCATTTTCGGGGTTTGCTATATGAAAACTTTAATCTCGGTTTCAGTTTTAAGTGAAATGTTCATTGAAACTATAAACACTTTATGATTTTGTGTTAATAATTAATTTAGGCATACAATACATTTGTTTAGTTTTGAATCAAATTTAGAATCCTTGTAATTTTCAATCAAAAACGTCATAACTCCTTCTTCCGATGAAACAAAAGAATTCACTTTGATGACGTATGCAGGATCTCTCCAATCATCCATCTGCCTCTATCCAACCACAAATTATTAAACCCCGCCCTCATTTTTTTTCCTTATCCGTTTCACTCAAATTTACTCCAAAATACTAAAGAAAAAAATCTGCTGCTACTTCTGTTTCATCGAGACTTTAATATGCACAGTTAATGCACTTTCACACTGAATATCTTATCTCCCTCAAAAGAAATTTAGAGAACCGTGTATTTGAATTAATTTTTCTATGTTAGCAAAGTTTATTATGGTAATACACCACTTCCATAGATAGGGGGTCACGCATTTAACAGGGCTGTAACCCCTGACACGAGTTAACCAGGTTAAATTAATCCACAGTATGTGTGCTCAGTCCCTGATGCAGGAGGAGTCTCCTTACACCCCTACAGAGAAGGTCAAGCACTCACCCTGATGTCAATGCGTCGCACTTCCACGTCGCACACCGCGTGGCCGTGGTTGGGCGCACATCTGGAGAAGAAGCAGTACTGGCAGACCGCCACCTGTTCCGCATCGCAGTGATAGAGTCTGTACTCATCGTGGTGCAGGCAGCTCCAGGCCCGCACCTCCTCAGCCCCCACCAGGAGGTGTCCAGGAGCGGGACAGGGCTGCTGGAGATGCGTCTGGATGTGAGACTGGCAACACGGTGCATTGCAACGAAGACACACTTTCTGCGCTTGCAGAGGAGGCCCTCGCCTACACAGAATGCAATGCAGCACGGCCGGAGCTTTCTCGACGTTCAGCGCGTTGAACTTCTCTACAATGTTAGTCAGTTTGATATTTTTCTCCAGGTTGGGTTTCTGATTGTACGCGTGGTTGCACTCAGGGCAGCGCACGTTGGCCGTGTCTTTAGCCCAGGCCTCGCTGATGCAGCCCCGGCAGAAGTTGTGTTTGCACGGCAGCTGCACGGGCTCCACGAACACATGCAAACAAATGGGACAAATTAGTTCCTCCTCGAAGCAGTTCCGCCAGTTCTCAGCCATCTCAACCAGTTGATCAGACATCCAGTTTTGAGTTGATCAGCTCGCGGAAGGCAAACATCAAGTTCTAGCACCGTCCCAACAAGGTTTCGCTCATTCTCACGACTCTTTCATTTAGATCCAGGTGCTAGGTCAGTCGATGAAGACCATACGAGCACAGAAGCCCCAGAGAAACAGCTGCTGATCAGACCCAAACATGCCAAGGGAGCGTTTCTGCTCCTGGCGAAGTTAGTCAGCAATCAAATACCACAGTCGGGCGTGAAAGAAGGAATCTGACGTCCAGGGTTTCTTTTTTAACGAGAGAAACTTCGACAATCTATCCACAAATGATAACCATAAAAAAGAACACTAATTATGGTAATATTTTAGGGCGAGCGAAACATGACAGAAAATGACTTGACTAATTTAAAATGCTATTATGAAGAATCTTTTTAACCATTGTGTTCGTTTTACGAACTTTACATCCGATTTTAATAGCTTTTGATAGTCTGACAACTAAATAAAAGCATAATACGCAGTAATGAATTGTTTATTACAACAGTAATAATAGTAATTTAATTTATGCACAGTAGCTTGTGATCCAAATAGTGGCACATTTATTTTCTGATTGTAAAGCTAAACATTAACTCCCTTCAGAATGAATGACTAGTATTTAAAAAATATCCAAACAGTATATTACAAATTGTTACTTTTTTACGCTATTCTTCAGAGACCCCGTAAACGATGCCATTTATCGGTCAAAACGCATCGATAAACGCGCAGAAGCTTGAATATGTTTAAAAAGCATCGATCAAACCAGTTATCAGTCTATTTCCAATTACGGCACCCAAATCAAACCCCAGAGCCAGACGGAGCACGCGTTAAATGTCTCAGTGACGGATGCCTGACTATCCGCTGAAAGATAACTTGAACTACTAGTTAAAGGCTACGACCTCGTCTAACATCCAGTGCCAGTCGAGATAAGATCAGTTCAATCCACATGTAAATGTCGTATCGTCGTTTAAAACAGGAAAAGGGTGACGCCACAAGTTGCGCTGAAAACGTCCTTTCGTAAGCAGCTGTAACTTACAGTAATTTACTGAAGAAGTCGATCACGCATTTGATTTGTGCCCAGGGCACATGACATTTGCCCTGCTGGAATTATAATAAAGTAGACCTGAGTCTCGGTGCTGCTTGTGTAACACTATATCGATAAGATTTCTGTCCCCTACAACTATAAGAGAGGCAGCCGGTAAAGCTAGAAAGACTGTTTTATCTATTATAATGACACGACTTTGAATTGACGCGTATACATGCATGCCAACATGCTCTCGAAGCATTAAACCACAAAGAGCTGCGATTTTATCATTAGCAGAGCTATTCTCTCGCTATCTGTGTTGGTAAAACATTATAGAATAATCCACAACCTGATCCATGTCCATGTTTCATCTGATGTTTACCTGGCCGCATTTACCAGAGACGGACTGCGTTCATTTTTAGAGCCTAATGACTTGTATTTTATTTTGACGACGCTAACTCGCTTAAAATATTCATGTATTAAAGCCAGATACCTTTGTTGCTCTTAAAGGAGACGATATCGTTTGGCCCTTGTTATTGCTCATCAGCCCTCTTGTTTTCCTGTTTAACGCGAATTAAAAACGACGTATCCGTTTACTTTTCCTCTCATTTGTATGCCCTTTATATAGACGGCTCACGTAAAGCAAACAGGTCCAGTTCTGCGGTCACCCAGGGATATCACGTCCTTTAAAACGTTAGTCCTGATTGAAAACAGATGCTTCAGCGCCGTATTCCAATCTGCGTCTGTTATTATTTATGATTTTTTTCCCCTTTCAAGCTAATCCTAGATGAGAGGAACGCAGGCACAGGACTGCAACTCAGGATACAGTTCACATACTCCCCCTTCTCTGGTCACGTGATCAGCGCGGACTTGATACATAAAAGTGGGAGGGGTTATTAAGCAGGGGCGGGGTTTGATTTAAAGGGACACATCTCTAGTGTTTTGAGAGCTGTCAAATGTCTAAATTCAGTTTCTCTCCAGTAAATAAGCCATTTTACTATATAATTTAATTTGCAAAAGTGGAGCATGGCATTTTTTCAGGTTGTGTCGTCAAAATCAACACAAACATCCTGATTTATGTAAATAACTTTAATGCACTTAAGGGCAACAAAACCACAGGCAGTGTAGTGATTCTCCAGAATATATAAAAAAAAGCCAGTACACTAATTAAATTCATCTTTTTAAAAGCACTAATAGCGGTTCTTTTTTAAACTTTGACCTATATTATTGTGCACACATCCCAAAAATAACAAACGCACATTCTAGAAAGTAGATTGCTGTCCAGGAACCAGTTAGTTTGCTTCGCTATAAAGAGGCTTGGAATGCAATCATAAAGTCAAATGAAGTGAAGTTCAATACAAGTTCAATAGTTTACAAAAATAATCAAAAGAAAGATCAGGGAACTATTTCGTGCTTCTCAACTTTACATTTGACATGAGGTTTAGAAAACACCCATTCTGTACAGGCTTTGGTATTGTGAAGGTGAACTGACTAACCAGCTATTGTTTGACTAAACTAAATGAAGACCTTATGAAATATCAACCTTAAATAGGCACAGCTGTATTTTATATATGCAAATGAGTAAAAACAGGTAAAACCAGATTTGTTTTTGATAAACATACTTAAAAGCATGCTTTCTATGCTTTCCTTCACATTACAAGCAGGATTTAGAAAAGCAAATTTTCTGTATGTAACTTCAGTCCATTCTAAGGTGAATAAAGGCACCGGTGCTTGCACATTGTCTCGTGCTGCTAAACGTTCAACAAGAAATATGTTTTTTTTAAAACGGAGACCAGAAAAACTAAAAAAACATAAAATCACCATTTTTCCCTTAAGAGTGAATAGGTAAACCAATGCAAAGACAAGTGGTATAACGGACCATACAAAATGTTGTACATGTACAAAATGTTCTGTGTCATGTGCAATCATCTACGATGCTCTCTGGGAAAAGGGGAAGTGTCTGAATGTCTGTTTCCTTCAGCCGTCTGTAGGCACATGAGCCTGGCAAAAGAGTTGAGCTCCTTTCTGTAGATGTGGGTTTGTAATCAGGGACAGTGTGCTCCCAGTCTTATTGCAGTGGGCTGTCAAACACTGTGTCTGGCAGGACAGAGATCTTTATCTTCTTATCGGGCCAGCTGTACTCCTTCGGCAGCTTAGACTGGGTGAGAGGGTAAAGAGATACATAGCATGTTAAAAACATTGAGAAGTTTACAAAACCTGTGAAATATCTTAATTTGAGGTCTAAAATCTTACCACTTCACGGGTGCTCAAATCCTGAACGTCAGCTAGCATCTGCTCTACAAACTCCTCAGTAAGTAGTATCTAAATTGAGGGGATCAGAACAAAGTCACACACATGGAACGACACTGAACTTTAAAGAAATCGTTCAACCAAAAATGAAACATTTCCTGAAAATGTACTCACCACCAGGCCATTTTTTGTGATGTAATAGTGTCTGCATGTCTATTACCTGTAACCATGGTCCATGAGCAGCATACGGATGCTCTTCTGTGGCAAAGGCCCCTTCTACCCCAGTGGATACGAAGGTGATTGCCGTGTCTCCATTAATGCTTTTATATGTGAAATGACGGCCATGAAGCAGACGACCTCTACAAAAAAAGATTAAAAAGAAAAAAGCTGAATTAATCATTTACACAGACATTGATAAGTGTTGTTAAGCGGGAAATATCAAAGGCTAAAGCTATAAGTAACCTGATGTTCACTTTCTCCCTGCTCTCACTTGGACTTTAAACAAAGGCTTCTCTGTGAGCCTCGTCTCTGTCCAAACAAGGAGATTACATAAAACTCATATCCCACTCTTTCAGTGCCAGCAATATCTGATACGTTAGCATTTCAGTGAGCTCAATTTGTTTGTAAACTGTAATATATTGTAATATGAACATAGTGCAAATCAGCACACTACTACAATGTGTACTTTTACTTCTCACTTCTGAGTGAAATCACAATCCCTGGCCATAGTCATAAAGTTCATGCCTCTGCAAAGTGGTTTTCAGGCATGGAAATTAAGGGGGGCCTGGGGCAAAAATGCCACCAAAATTCAAGATAAGGGGGCAAAAATTAAACAATCTATTAAGACTGTCATGATTAAAGTCAAATAAGAAAATGAAAAAAAAAAAAACGTTGATTGCTTTATTACACTTAGATCTGCTAATGTTTCATCAGGTTTCTTTTTACGTTATGATGTATTTTTATGCATTATGACCAATCACAGGTTTCTGTTGAGTTTATAGCAATGGACAATCAGAGGTGTTTAGTCACCACTAAAAACGTTTGTTATGCAGTATTTGACAAAGACGGCACAAAAATGCCCCTGGAAATTAACTGGAACTGAATTTGAATTGAATGAACAGAAAAGTTTATTTCCGACCCTGGTGGATTTCAAGAAAACGTATGACAAACGACCTTTAAGTACGCAAGCATACTCCCAACAGAGTTTTGCCCTACCTGAGGCACAGTGGGAGAAGAGTCCCAGACTCCTGGTTGAACTTCAGATGCACGCTTTCCAGCTGTCGTGTTCGCACCAACTCATGAGGGACAATAGCAGCCGAACTCTCGCTCTCGAGACTGTCCTTACGGCTCCTGGGATAATAGAAGAGGGGAAAAGATAAATAAGGAAAAAACAGAATGGGGGTGTCCAATTTGTGTCCAAGTGCCACATTTGAACTATATAAAAGTCATTGCATTAGATAACCACGTTGTAACTGTGTTCATCACATTAACTATGAACCTGATCCACTAATGTTGAAATACCAGAAATGTTCCAAATAATGATGTGCAATGATATTCATACATTTATAGTTTAAGTGCCTAAATATTTTTTTTTAAGTAAGAAATAGTGCAGTGCAGAGTTTTGTTTCCATTTTGTTGTAACAAAAAGTAACTTGCAGACACTGTTCTGAACACCCATTTTCAAAGTGGAATAAAGAAGAATAGTCTCCATAGCCCATTTGTTGGAGAAATAGTTTCAGTTTCACTCGTAGTTGGCTCTTACCTTGATATCTGCTGGGTCTGGAAATGTCCAACTGATTGTCTATGGAGAAATTAGGGGCAGATTTGTACCACAGCGAAGTGAATGAATGCATTTACCACTACTGCCAAACGGCAAATCAATTTTATTCTTTCCAAAAGCCACTTACAAAAAAGTCAACTTTCCCTCTTTTAAGAGATTGGAATAGCTCCTTTAAATGCATCTACATATTTGTAATTCAGTTGCTACTGTAAGGCCTTTTAGGCACAAAATGTTGGACAGATGCATCAGTGGAGCAAGTGTGGCAAACACAGGTCGAGCAACTGATCAACAACTGCAAATAAATTCATGACACACTTAAGCGGTCTTGAAAGTTTGTCAGTTAAGTGTGCATAATGATAACTTGACTGCTTTATTAAATAACAGGAACAAATAAGTAAATAAATAAAACTGCATACAGGATTCAACTCATTTTCATTATGTCTGGTTCTGTTAATGGTTTTTAACTTGCACGGCTGCTGAATCTATTGTGCGAAACATACATTGCCGACCAAAGTAGTCAAATTCCCCAACTAATTATTCTTATGAGCTGGTTCTTTTTAGTAAAACAAAATATGTCTGAATCAATCGGAGGGGGTAAGTAAGTAAATTAATTACTTAATGAAACTGCAAGTCATTACTTTCATCATGACAAACTTGAAATTCAACACAACGACTTGATCACAAGTACTAAAGGAATCGTTAATGAAACTGGAATCGTTAAAAGGAATCTGAACCAGAACTGTTAAATTCTTTATGATTTTCAGTCAGTGCAGAAGCCTGAACTCCTTTTCCTCTCCATAAAGAAAGTATGTAAAGAAGTGAAGTTCTTTATTACAAAACTGTCATTGTACATCACTTCAGTTCAGCATTATGTTTGTCATTCATCATGATTATTTGGAACAGGCAACACAACCAATTTCAGCAGGCAGTCAGGCTGAGCTCCAGGATGTGTGTCTGAATCTCTGGCTGGGCTACAAGTAGCAGTGGGCCGTGAGCAAAACAAGGGGGTGCAGACAACAGGATAGTGAGATTAACCCAGACAAACCATGCACTGAGATGATCTGGATTGCACAGCGTTTAATGAGATGAGGATGGAGTGCTTAAAACGGTCACCCCAGCTAACTGCTACCATCACAGCCCTAATAACAAAAACTACAGGCAATGTCTAATAGCACAAATAATCATGGGTCTAAGGACAGTATAGCATAATACAGTACCCAATTCAAAAGCACATTTGTACTGGCAAGCTAATTTCATGAGCTAGTAACACTGCTGTACAATAGCAGGCCAGCTGGCAAGAGTCCGCACTCATGAGGACAAAGATTGAAGGGACAGGCTGTGTCTGAAAAATACCTGCAGGTAATTATCCACATATTGGACAGGCTTCTGAGCCGCTGTCAAACCAATAGTGATTTTGATATATAGTGGTTGAGTTGAACCAACCAAAGTTCACTAAATTCATTCCTAACTCTGTTAAAAATTGCAGGACTGTTTAAAAGCCATTTTTTTACTGTGCACCAAATAGGGGTGGGCGACATGACTAAAACCTTATATAACAGTACTGCATCACATATATATCATTCATGATCAGTTAATTTTGCAGAGTTTTGCCACATTGCTTTCTTGCAGTATGCATTGGGTGTTTGGGTGCAGTATACATTGGATGTCTACGTATTCATTTTTTTTGTGTCACCAAGTGAAATCGATGAATGCTGAAAACTTGTTTAATAATTACAAGCAGTCCTAATGAGTTTTCAGCAATAATAATATTAACAGGCTTATAGACTAATTTATAGGGGTGGATACTGACACTGATTTCACAAACTGATTTGATTCTGATCTCAATTCGATATTGATTCGTTTGGAATGGATGTATATCAGGTACAGAACTTATCGATGTTTTTGTAAGGAAAAACTCTCTCAACTAAACTATACAATTATGTCAGTTGGTATATTGCCATAATATTAAAGGTTAAAATGAAAAGTCCAAACCATTCAATTCAATTGCTATTTATTTTTAGATAAAGTAAACAAAACTTAAAGGGGTCATATGATGCGATTTCAATTTTTGCTGGCCAATCACAGCACACCTCACTTTTCAGACCGATGAGCTTTGTAAAAATTGACGCGTTTCAGAAAGGCGGGGCATAGAGGAGAAATAATAATGTACAGTATGTGGAAAATAATGTGTTTTTTGAACCTTAAACCACAAACACATTTCATTACACCAAATACACAAAATTATGTTCTTTTTAGCAACATCATATGACCCCTTTAACTGAGTTTTCTAGCTAAATGATCAAGCTGTGATTAAACGGCTTTCCTGAGGTAAATGTAACATTACATTGTTTACAAACTATTTTATAGACGTCTTTCCGCAACTGAAACATGATAAATTTCAGTATGTTTCTTTCAACATACCTTCTGATATTATTTCATGTTTATTCCGTGATATAGGCCTAACTACTACTAAAGCTGAAGAGATGATCGCTTAGTGGATGGGAGAAGAACATTACGTATATTGTTTAGTGCAGTTTAGTGCAAACATCAACTGAAAATAGCACAGACTGACAGATCGATCTTGAAATTTAAATATCACTATCGGTTTAAAATGAAGAAATCAATACTATTAATCCAGCCCTACCAACTTACACATCAACGCAATCATGCGCACAACAGAAATGTCTGTGACGTTACACTGCTCAACCACTGCAAAAAATGGCAATGGCAGTAGACCTACATCACTTTTCATGATTCACAGCACCCATAATCATAATCTCAATCACTTATGTGATTAATTGTGCAGCCCTGTGTGCTATAAACAATATAGAAAAATCTCTACCTGGTGACACACTTTTCACACTATGTATATACAGTCATAGTGCCCAGCCCTGGCACCAAACATCTTTTGTCTCCTAGCCATAAACCATAATGATGCCATCCTGTCCTGAACAGGTGGCACAGCAAACCAAAGCAGTTTGGTGTCCTGAAACAAACTTTTCAACCTGCTACTTCCAGAATTAAGGTCACAGCACTGGGTAAACCATACTTCCGCTTGACCAGTATAATCACACTGTCCTGAAGCTTTGATTGTCATGAAAGGGCAGGACTTACTGTGGCCGGTCGTGACTGTGCTTCTGACTGCTGATGGGAGGCAGGACAGACTTGCTGTTAATCTCCAGTCCTTTCCTCAGGGCTTCTCTAATCTGTTCAGTGTCTGTATGAACAATACACAAATACTCATGACAATGTGACAGTAATTTGAGCCAATACAAAATCTCTGAAGCATACAGAGTTTGGTGTCTTGCTTTTTCAATCGGGCTGCACTTGTCCTTAGCACCCCTCACCTTTGTCGGACAGCCTGCGTGGCTGTGACCCAATGCAAATGCTCCTGCTGTCGTCCTCATCCTCGGGAGGTCGGCTCAAGTCATCCCAGGCGCACTTGGCACTGACCCCGCTCAGGTTAGAGCCGTCCGTCTCTATGCCCTTATCCACTCGTTCCTGCTTGGGATGAGCAATCAACACACGCACTAATCAGCAGGAGATCAGCATGGCTGGACATGTGTCCGTCTCAGCGCAGAGAGCGAGGGGGCAGAGGACTAACAGCAGGTGGAGGTGTTGAGTTTAACAGCCACAGACTTAATTACACTCCATCTTTTCCCATCACTCCTGAAGCATCACAGTATGTGCTATAACAGATGACCTTAATCTCCAGAAATGATTATCATTCATTACTTGAGAGAGGTAAAATGTGTTTAAAAAAATAGAGTGGGGGATAAATATGCACAGGAAATTACAAGTTTAGCTTGGATACACAAAAGTAACTTAACACAGTTAACAAGGACCTACATTTAAAGGAATAATTCACTAGCAATTGCACTATTAAATTTCTGGCTAATACAGATAAGCAAACAATTATTGTTATGTTATGGTTAATAACCTATATAACCAATGAATGACTGATATTAAAATTCCAAACTATTTTCTCTAAATAAATAAAACACACAAAAAAGCAGATTTAGGCATCACTACACAATGTCATGTACAGTACGATAATGGATATTCATTTTGAGATCTGCTAAAGATTACATTTAACATTTATAAAATTAGTGTTTCAAAAGATAACTAAGTGATGACGAAAATGTTTGTGCAAAAAAAATGATACTTATTAGAATACATCCAATAAAAATGTTTCCTGAGAACCAAATCAGCATATTAGAATTATTTCTGAAGGATCATGTGACACTGAGGATGAAGTAAAGATGATGTTGAAAATTCTGCTTTGGAATAAAATATACTGTTTACATGTAAAATATACTGTTATTTTACTGTATTTATGACACTTCTTTCCAAAACAATAACATTTTTACCAACCTCATACTAGCATAATACTCAATATCGACCGACGTATATATAATATCAACCAATAATGATAATTTTACCGAAATACTAAAGTTACATTTGTGTGAGGAGCAGACCGAAATATCATTTAAAATTAGGGCTGCACGATTAATCGCATGCGATATTTAACGCGCATCTTGTCAGAAAGCCGGTTCTGTAATCAGCGGTAAATCTCCATCACCTGCGTGCTTTCACATTGAGCAGCATTAACCACACAGAGCCGTTGTTCACTGATGAGTTGCGCAAAAAATCGCGCGAATATGAACGTGGTTTAGCGCAGCTCGTCAGTGAACAACGGCTCTGTGTAGTTAATGCTGCCCAATGTGAAAGCACGCAGGTGATGGAGATTTACCGCTGATTACAGAACCGGCTTTACTGATAAGATGCGCGTTAAATATCGCATGCGATTAATCGTGCAGCCCTATTTAAAATCATATTTAAAGGAAGAGTTTGAGCAAATAACCATGAACAGTTGTCATATATGGTAAAGAGGAACATGTACATTTTTCAAAATTCGTGTTCCACACAATAAAAAAAACATCAAGCCATTTAGCAACAATATCAGGGTAAATAATACGAGCATTTTCATGTGGATGATCTGTTCCTTTCAACAACATGCAAACTTCAGAAAGCCTTACTTGCAAGTGTGGATCAATATCAAATATAGTTTCCCCTCTTCTCATATCAGTGATTAACCATGGACCCCCAGCACTGCAAACAAAACAGCAGACGAAACATGACCCAATTCAGAATTAATGAAAAACAAAAACAGCACAAAGCACCTCAGAGCAAATGAAAGCTCCTGGCCCACTTAGTGGAAAAGAAACATCATTTAGAAACATTACACACATATTCTTACATTTGCTTACAGTAACACAAACTTATAACTTCACTACTCCATAAATGCCACAGAGACAAAGTAATATATCAAGGGCATTAATTTAGTTTCTCAGCTGGTTAAATCAGTCCTGCAGTTTCTTTAACGTAGTTTTCCCACCAATTGAGCACGAGCATGTCCTTGGCCTGTCTCAAAATCAGCATATTAGAATTATTTCTGAAGGATCATGTGACACTGAGGATGAAGTAAAGATGATGTTGAAAATTCTGCTTTGGAATAAAATATACTGTTTACATGTAAAATATACTGTTATTTTACTGTATTTATGACACTTCTTTCCAAAACAATAACATTTTTACCAACCTCATACTAGCATAATACTCAATATCGACCGACGTATATATAATATCAACCAATAATGATAATTTTACCGAAATACTAAAGTTACATTTGTGTGAGGAGCAGACCGAAATATCATTTAAAATTAGGGCTGCACGATTAATCGCATGCGAGCAAATGAAAGCTCCTGGCCCACTTAGTGGAAAAGAAACATCATTTAGAAACATTACACACATATTCTTACATTTGCTTACAGTAACACAAACTTATAACTTCACTACTCCATAAATGCCACAGAGACAAAGTAATATATCAAGGGCATTAATTTAGTTTCTCAGCTGGTTAAATCAGTCCTGCAGTTTCTTTAACGTAGTTTTCCCACCAATTGAGCACGAGCATGTCCTTGGCCTGTCTCATGGCTGGCTGTGGGATTACTCACATGTGCACTCCTCTCAGCAGGTCCAGAATGCCTTGACCGTTCCACTGCTGCGCTGCCTGCAGCTCCTCTGTGCAAACACCAACAATCTGATGAGCACAGAAGGAAAAACTTAATTTACACCAATCAGAAGGAGACACATGCATATGAGGACAAGGTTAATAAACGTAATGTTTTAAGGTTATTTCAAATATACAGTGGGGCTCAGCTGAACATAAATGGCTATATAAACATGTCTGAAACCGACCTCAAAGGGTAAAGAAACAAATAAGAAAACGAAATAAATGTGATTTTATATTAGCCTACAGTCAACAACTATTTTGAAACTGCTGGCTTGTTGTGCCTGACCTGAAGGAAGCTGATGTGACCAAAGGGGGTCTGCATGGGCTGCATCTGAGGGTCCTCTGTGAGTAGCATATGCTGGATTCTAGACTCGCTGTTGTCCAACGGACTGTGCCACGAAATGTGATCACCGCTACAGAATGTGTTTTCTGTTGCAGAGCAAATGATTTGTCTGAGAGGTTGCATACTTTCATGAGAGTAATATTTAATATTGAAATTAAGTATAATTTTAATTTTGACAACTCTAATATATTGCACACAGTACATGCAATAGAGTACATACATAGATACCTGCTCTGGGACAAATCTGCAATTTTCACACTAAAACACTAAAAAAAGTTTGTTTGTACTTCAAATAAAAAAGCTACTAAAATAAAGCAGAACGCCATATTCTGCTAAATACAGTCTGCACATATTTAGATGCGTGATTCCACATGCTGCACCTTATATCACTCAGTTGGATTCGCAGAGGTCTTATTATATTAAACTGGCAGGCGAAAACAAAATCTGGATTTTAGGTTTGATCTGAAGTGCAAAAATATGGGGAAAAAGGATCTTTTTTGCAGTTTCTCTTTATCTTGAGATACCACTGTACTTCTTTAGAAATCCTTTTCAACTTGATTATATTATAGTTTTACAGTTATACAAAGCCAAACTTTATTTCAAGGCTTTATTTTACATTTGCGTGTCCCACTCAAGCTTGATTATTACAACGGTAAGACAGTAAAAGTGTAGATTAAAAGCATAAATGGTTCATACTATCAGGCTGAGAAATAATGATCATGAAAAACTAAATTTTTACCATTTACACCATATATTAAATGACTTTAAATCTGTTAAAGCTGAAAACAACAGCTGCTACATTGTTTTGACATCACAGAAGGAATGCTTCCAGGAATTATAAAACTCCTACCACTAAAGAGTGGGGGCAGGTACAGTACCTGATTGAAACACGTATCGAGCCAAGCCTTGCATGAGCTCAGCTGGCCAGGTAGGGGGTGCCGTCTCTCCTGCTTCTCTCTTCAGGCGAAATGTGAGCTCAAAACCAAAACCACTTGGGCCCTCTTGACCGGTGAATCTACAAAGAAGCAGAATACAGCTGAAATTCAATCCCTGCCAACATACATCAACACAACTCTTCACATAAAACTAAACGTAAAATTAATTCAACTGCTGAAACTTGAATACATCATGTAAATATGAATATACGTTGAACTAAACTAGCTGGGTATTGCTGTAACAACATTGTCATGTAATGAAACTTTTATCTCGTGATCTGTCATTCTTACTCATGAACTCTGTTGTCCCCATACAAGTCACTTAGACCCAGGCTGACATAGTGCCAGTGTTCTGGCACATCTTGTCCAGGACATCCCAAGTTTCTGTACATACTAATGTAGTCCAGAGGATCTGGACCCCCTAACCTGAAAAGAGGATTATGGGAGTAAAAAGTGAGTCACTGATGGAAAAGTACACTTGAAAATTTGTTATTTGCCAATTAATAATGCTTCTGCTGACTGAAATTTGATTTTCATCTTTGATCACCACTCAGTGTTTTAATAGTACAAACTATGTTAGTTCTGAAATAGTTCTTTGAATAAAATCCCGTTTTACTGAACTTGTTTTTATGTGTGCATGTCAAGCAACAACATAAAATAGGATGTTTCAGACGTCTCACCAATACTTCACAATGGCTGTGACTTGCAGCGGGTTCGCCTGATCGGGATACAGACGCCTGCATTCCCCATAAATGGCCTGCAATCCCGGGGGAAAGATCGAGGCGAGGCCGAGGTGCGCTGCTGCTCCGCTGCTAGGCCGCATCTCATCCATCCCCACACGGCCGCACCAAACAGGGAAAAAGTTGTCGAAAAGCAGGAAAAAAGGATATTCTTGAAAATTTGCGATTAAATCACTGATATTGTAAAAACGATTTGTAACACTTTCCCCCTATGTTTAGCCCCAGTTGCAGTTTTTCCTCTGTGGTTGGTTTGATGTCCAGAAAGGGGACGTGGCTAACGCTTTGATTGACACTTGATCCACCCAATCAGAATAGGCGTTAGAAAGAAACGACATGAGAGTCGCAATGCGATTGGACGCATGTATTGTGATCAATGAAGTTGTTAGTTGTTGATCCATGTGGAGGCGTGGCTCAGTGTCCAATGTGACGTTCACATAAACGTATTTCTTACTTTTGCGCCATTTAGAGATGAAATGGACTATTTTATAATGTATTATGTCTTCCAATTCAATACATTTCAATAGCTTCTGTTAACATTCCAATCACTTCCATAGACACAATATATATTTTTTATTAACAATATCAGAAAGAAACAGATAAACATTAGAACAAGAACATAATGGGGGGGATACAGTAAACATTAAAAGGTAATTAAATGAGTGAAAATAAATCAATCAATAAATTCATTAATTAATTAATTTAAAAAATAAAAGAAAAATCAATAATACATTTTATACAGTCATACAGTTATACAATCATTTTACAATCATAAAAGTTACAACTTATTTATTATTTTTTTTTATAAGATTGGATGTTTTTAAGGCTTTTTTATTAGAGGAGATTCTTTGAAGTGATGAGTAAAGCAAAAGTAGGCTAAATCAGAAATGAATATTTTATAGTTAGGTTTAAAGTTAAGGCATCGCGCTTTGTGAATGTGGAATTTTCCCATCATACAAATAAAGTCCAGGGCATCCTCTAGCTCCCTATTGTCAGAAACCACAGAATGAAAGAGAACCTTAACTGCAGAAATGTTACTTAGACAAAAGAATACGAGAAGTAAAGATGCCGAAATTTGAAGCCAGAATTGTTTAGTATACGGACAGAAATAGAATAAATGTGAGAGAGATTCTTCCTCTTCTTGGCAGAAAGAGCAGAGTGGAGAAAGATTTTGTATGAATTTACTTAAATATTTGTTGCAGGGGTAATAATGAATAATTTTAATTTAATAAAATCTCTTTTATTTTATGATTAAACAAAAATTAGTTTGGCACTGTCCATACCTTCTGAAAATTAACATTTGGATAAAGTACCAACCACTTTCCAAAAGCTTTAAAAGATTAAGCATTATTAGCAGTAATAAAGTTTCTCAAAAATTTGTTTGTACACTTATTATCCATAATATTAACCCCTTGAATAAATAGTTGAGGGATAATTAAACTAAAATTACAATATATTTTATAAGACGTCATTAACAATAACAACTTTAGGAGGATTGGAATTTGTAAGAATGTAGTCCCGTTTTGAAGTATTTATCCCATATTTATTAATAAAATCAACATAAGCATAAAAATATCCACTGTTGCTTATTAAATCTGAGATAAACACAATGACCTTGGAGAACCAATCAGGGAAGAAAACAGATTTACGAGCTGATAAAACATACTGATTATTCCAAATAGTATGAGGGGGGAAATTATGTTTAAAGATTAGCTTCCATGAGTCTAAAGCTTGCGTATGGACGTTTGAAAGCTTCATAGGGAGCCTTGTGGACTTAAAATCACAAGAAAGCAAAAACTGTAGGCTACATTTCCACATCATTTGTTGAATTTTTATTTTTGCCCAACACGCACACATAAGTAAATTAATATTTTATTAATTTTTTACATTTAAACTTAAATTAAACTAAAAAATGTTTAGTTTTTCCCAGAAAAAAATATCTGTTTTCATTCATACTTTTTAGAGTTTTTTGAGTTTCTGTATTCTTTTTTTTTTACTGTTTCAATCATTTACTGATAATATGATACTTAAAATTTATTTTTTCACATGCCAGAGATTTCAGTAATTTATCTATTTGTTTCATGTATCTATTTCAATTTAAGCCGAAATGTGTGAATCTACTAACTGTACTTTCCAAAGTACATAAAGGTTTAGTGCCACCTGCTGGACAGACTATTGACTGCACATGCGCCTGGACCTTATGTTATACAATAATGTAAGATAATATAAGATGAAACCATCATAATTAACAGGATGAATTATATCTCATTCTTGTTTTATGAATGTTTTATGTTTTTAGATTTATATCTCGTTTATTCAAAGAACAGATCATAAGTCATAAGTTCTGGAAAGTGATGTAATGACACTAATGCTTAATTTCCACAAATGAAACACCTACAGCAGTCAGAGAGGTCAACCGATGGCCTCATGTGGTTTATTAGTCATTGCTGATGTTAAAAGCATTTTTTAAAATTCTGTTTTACTGTAATATCCTTTAGCAATGTATCCTTATGTTGACACTACATATAGTTGTCTTGGCATCATCCATCTGGTATAGTGTTTTGCCAGTTTTATTTAGTATATTTTGTCTTTATGCATCATAAGAATATGCTTATGCCCAAAATTATATTAGAAAAAATTCAGAGATTAACAACAATTTCTCTAGAAAATTAGCTATGATGCAGCTTGTCAGAACAGATTATTTATGCTCAGTATACCAGGCCTGTTTATGGCAATTATGACTGATAAGATGTTTAGGCTACATGTTGATGTTACGTGGTACTTGGATACCAAAACTCTTTGTTATACTATTTGCTGCAAGAGATGCAGTAGGCAATTACTTGGTTTTCATTGTTTCACTTTAAATTAAATTCTTAATTATATGAAAAATATGCCTCAATTCATGGCTGCTGCAATAACTAGAAAAATCTCCTGTACATTTATGTAAAGAGTTGCTGAAATTTACACATAATGCTTATCATTTTTCATGACTTTCTGTAGAACTGTTTGTACATTACACAGTTTGTTTTTACAGGTTTGGGTTACACAGTTTATTTGTTGTTGATGTACATTTTTGTTGTTGTGTAATTTTGTCTTCCTAAATTACATGATCACACTGGGTTCTTACTAATACTCCATTTGTGACCCTGGAGCACAAAACCAGTCTTAAGTCGCTGGGGTATATTTGTAGCAATAGCCAAAAAAACGTTGTATGGGTTAAAATTATCGATTTTTCTTTTATGCCAAAAATCATTAGGATATTAAGTAAAGATCATGTTCCATGAAGATATTTTGTAAATTTACTACTGTAAATATATTCAAACTTAATTTTTGATTAGTAATATGCATTGCTAAGAACTTCATTTGGACAACTTTAAAAGCGATTTTCTCAGTATTTCGATTTTTTTTTGCACCCTCAGATTCCAGATCTCAATTTCGAGAAATTGACCCTTATGACTGGTTTTGTGGTCCAGGGTCACAATTATGATTTTCTGTGTGTATTTTGTTTGATTATGTTTTAAAATTGTGTTCTTTTATTCAGACAATACCCTGAATTGTTCTGCTTGTGGGATTTTTTTTTTTATTTATTCAATCCATGCAGTTATATAATGAGCATATTTTATCCAAACTTTTATCATCCAAGATTTTCCATGTACACTTTGGCTCCTCACTGGCACTCTGACTGGATGACTCACGGCCACTTCTTGCCAGTTTACAGTCATATGCCGGGACCAGTGACCCTTTACACACAGAGCATCCAGAGATATCAAGACACAGCTGAGCATATAGAGTACCACCATTTCTATGGACCAAAGCAAAAAGTTTCTTTTAGTCCTATTTGGTACCATCAATCAAGAGTGCTTCCTCTGCCAAATGTTGCTCCAAAACAAGCCCCAGGATTCAGTCACCATGAGATGCCCAGTGAAGCATGGCCGGAAGGGTTCAGAGGGGAGCTGCATGCTCTGGGGGAAACTCCAGAGAGTGTTCGGCGTGAACTGAGAGCTTCCAGACTTTGTGAAAGAGGATCTGAGGTGGGTGTATGGCACTTACCCCAGCAGGTAATCTGTGAGGATCAGCTATCAGAACGGGGAGTTTTTAGTGTGAGGGAACCCTCCTGTGGGTGAACAACAGGAATATATGGTAGAAAAGAAGGTGCTGCGAAAGGGGACAAGTCTTCCAGAGGGGCATAGTGTGAGTGAAATAAAAGAGAATAAAAAGAAGACGAAAAACAATATGACTATATTGCTGTAATGTTTCTGTTTAGCGCTATCTACTGTCAGTTGAGATAAAAAAAAGTGATTAGAGAGTATATAAGGTAAATCTAGTGTGTAAACAACAATGAATGAAGTTTGGGAAATGAAAATACGATAATATTGATGTACACAAAAAAATTGGTGCATTTTTCACATGTTGTTTCAACATTTTTCACTTGGAAAGTGCTAGTAAAACAAAGGAATTGCTATAAAAACAAATAATTAAAAAGAAATGGCAAGTACCACATTAAATTAAACGTGAAATTTGGAAGTAGAAAAACTGAAATAGTTTTTTCTTGTGAAGTGTACTTGAATAATGTTTTATTTAGAATTGAGAAAAATCTTTTTACAGTGTAATATAGAATGATATTTACAAAATCCACTCCATTATAAATCTCATTTTATAATATCAACGTTATTATACAGTATATAATGTAATATTATTTTTATGTAAATGGATGCATCACATTCTGACAGTGTTGATAATTTTTGTTTACCCATAATTTAATTTGACACACTACAATTATTCATATTTACACATTGTAAACCTGATTTTTTAAAGCGGTAAATAAAACAAATATTACTGAAGAAATTATTATTTTAGTTTTTCTACTACTACTTTTGTGTTACTTTGCATTTCTTTGTAATTATTTATGAAATCTACTAGCAATTTCTGAGTTAAAATTGTTTCAAAGTAAATCCCACAATTTTATTTTTCAGTCAAACACACACACACACACACACACACACACACAGTAATTATATTCACATCTTTAAAGTGTCCTTGATACGGATTCAAACATCATGTATTTCTTTTGGATATGTGAAAAAATAAACATTTTATAACCATATATTTGGTAATGTCAGCTAGGAATAATATTCATTAATTTAATCTTCAACTAAAACTAATACATAGCTTAAACTTATTATACATTTTGAAAACTACAACTGCAGTCAAAATATACATATAATTGCAAAAGCAAGTAACACTTCAGCAAAACAGTGGTGACATGAGAACGCACTACTACACAAAATACCAGTATCTGAGTGATCGTAATGCATAAAAAGATCATAGATGTATA